GGCGGGGCGGGGAGAAACAATGAGTGACATTTATAAGACAATACTGTCTGCAGCCAGGGCCTTAAGGGAAAAGCAATCTTGGAGGAATAGTAATATTCCTCATGAGCCTCACAAAGGATGGAGAAAAGGGAAAAAAAATGGACAGCTGGTTCTGAGGAAGTCATTGAGGGGATATCAGGAATGCTATTATAGAGGACGTGTGCCTCCACAAATTATTTCACATAGAATGACAAAAAATTGCTGAGATACATGTATGAATGGTGGGAAATCTTCCTCTACCCATTCCACAGAGCTAGGTCTTAAATTAAGTGAAGAACATCCATAATTTGTGATTCAAAGAGAGCCATTAACCAAGTTTCATGCTTTTCTTACTGATGAAACAGCTCTGAAACCATTCTCTCTCCCTTCTCTAATAAGATGGATAGAAATCATCTTATTCTACACACATAGGAGGCAGAATATTAGAGCTACTGAACTAAGCTTAAAGCTGTTGCCAAGAGCAGAAAGGCACAGAAAGTAACCAAACATCTAACTTCTGATGGACTATTCAGACCACCAGACAGGGCATGAGTCCTGTTGCTAGATTTCAAGTTCATTTGTTGAGATTTCCTGCTTACACAATCTTCATTCCAAATCACACAAGCCAAAGAGTTCCAGAGCATTCTGGTGGAGCCATATAAGTCTCTTCTGATGGACATAAGATTCTGTCTAATGCAACTATGTGGATAAAATTAAGCTGCTGCTTCTCAATTAGTACTGCTAACGTGTTCAAAGTCTCAGGAATTCTCTCAAGAGTTCTAGAGATTTTTAAAGAGTACAGGAATTGATCCTACAGAGTAGAAGAAAGAATGAGGCTTCGGAAGAGTAACATCAGCAAATTGTTAAGTTTGGACTTCCCTCAAGCCCTCTTTAGCTTCAGCTTTCACAGCACTTAACTTTTCCTTAGAGATGGAAATCTTGTTTATTCTAAACAAGAGCTTCCTTTGAGAATGATTCCTCTCAAGGGAATCAAGCATCAACTGGACTGTTAAAGATACTAAAGTTCAAAACACACAGAAGCAGATCATGATGCTGTCACAAAAGAACTCAAATCTCCAAGAGCTCTGCTGAGTTTATCTTGTACACTGTCTGTGCTGGAGAGGCAAGAAGGGAGGCAGCATTCAGTATGGTCTAAGAAAGAAAACAGAGAAAATATAGTCTTCTCCCATAGGAGTTTTTTAGCATGCCACAATTATACCATGCTGCATTTATGCAGTGAATTTTTCTAAATCATACTCTTTCAGTTATTTCAAGAAAGAAAAAACTTATATCAGATAAAGAGAACAGTAAACCCAGTGCCATAAATTACTTCTTTAACAAAACACGTATTTTCAGACTTTTGTGAGTCAAAGGACTTGCCAACACTGGCAAACAGCGAAGGACTCGATTTAGCAGACAGCCCCAACAGCATGAAAGCAGAGGCAGTTAGCTACTTTTGATGTGAGGAAACAGTCAATATTGACTTCATTGCCATAATGTTTTGAAGAACTGCTAGGTCTTAAGAGTAATAGGCATCTTGAAATAAATACAGGAGGTTATTTATTCTTCCTTTTCTTAGAGTAACAAACCCATAGAAAAGTAAAATCAATCATCCCACAGAAGTTAAAACACAAGTTGACCATACCACAGATTCTCAGAAACAAGAGCTGTGAGCAGCAAGAATGACTATTCACTGAAAGTGTTTCAAGTAAGCAAGTGACACAATAAGTGGTTGTATAGAATATCACATTTGCCTAGACAGGTTAGCTAGAGAGAGGACACTGCCATTACTTAGCATTAGAGACCCATAAAATAAATACTACTGAATTGCAGAAATTTGGAGCTTTCCAAAATTGGTAGGGTCTCTCATCCCTCTTTCCAGCTCTAGAAGCAGAAGGCAAAAAGTAAAGATAGGAGTAAGTAAGATTCTTCTTTTTTACTGAAGAATAAATATGAGGTTTTACTGATTACACAATCAATCAAAAACTACGTAATCAAAATATAAAATATTTATCACCTATAAGAAATCAGTTACATATAAGTGCTTCAAGTTCTGCCTTGCATCAACATGGAAAAGGCAGCATGAATAGTTGTTGCAGCAACTGCACACTTCACATTCTGGAGTGCAGGAAGAGTGTAGGGGTAACCTAAGTTGATACCATTATTAAAAAGAATCTGATGATGCACACCCAGAATTAATCTGTGTAGATGCATATGGAAGAATCGAGTGCTCTCTTGGAAAAGATGTTCTCTCTTCCCTTTTTCTCTACATAACATTTTGAGTGCAGTGAAGAGGTAAGTGGGCTATGGAGGAAGGAAGACAGCTGACATAATTTTCTCTGTGTTCTTTTTCAGTTCTGCAAGTACTTGCAAGGACGTTGAACTTTTACTTGAAAAGTTTATTATAAGTTTTAATAGGACAGATAATATATTTTAAGAAGTCAAGCATATGTGTAGAAAATTGCCAAATCAAGCTCAAAAAGTTACAAAGACAAGCTGCATTTGTAAAGAAAAGCATCTCCTGATTTACTGCTGATGCAAATGCAGCAAGCTCCTATAGCAATATACAGTATTGGAAAACATGGAATGAATTTCTAAAAACAAGTCACATCAAATGCCATTTATGCATTGAAATTAATAATGCTAAGTCACTTCTGTTACTGATGCTTAGAAATGATGGTTCACTTTTCTGAACATTGATACAGAGTAGCAGTTCTCTTACTTACTTTCAACATGTGCGAAGGCACAAAATGGACCACGTGGGCAGTAACCTGTTTGGCGCATGTCATTGCACTTTGTAGATTTATATATCTAAACAAAACAGAAGGGTGGTTAACCTAAATATATTTGTTATGTAACAACAAAATAGATAGAAAATTTAAATATCTTTAAAGTAAAAACACTAAATATTTACTATGTATTACACAGTTTCTCAGAAAATTCAGTTCTTATGATAATTTTTAAAAAATCAAATAGAAGAGCAGAATTTCAAGAAAAGCAAACCTGAGACAAGAGAATCTTAACCCTCTTCTGTATAATAATAAATAGTAAGTAACAATAATATTTTAGAAAAGCAGTGTTTAAACTGCTTTAGTTTTCCATGTTGTATAGAAACAAGTCAAACATTGGAAATAAAATGTTCAAAGACATTTAACTACTCTTAAGAAATCTTGCAGGAGAAATGATATAGGTCATAAAGCAGCTTACATAGCTGAAAAAAAAAAAATAAATTTTTTTTTTCAACACAGTTCGTTCATTAGGACAACTCTAATATTCAAATCATCCTAACATTCAAATGTGTTTCTCTAACCTGAATGGGGTGTGTGAGAACTGAATACTGACTGCTCATGACAGTAATGATTATACAAGCTGCTAGTAAGATCCAGACTCAGATAATTGCTCTTCTAGGATCTTGATGTTCTTTGGATCTCACAAGGCTGAAAGGAGGGGATGACATACTATCCTATTAGAACAATATTAAGAATCTATTTAAAAGCATATAGACTCTTTAGAAAATTAATTCTGGTGATTTGCAAGTCTGCAAGGTAAATAGCAGAGGGATGTTTCTGGTTCCTAAAACCTTTGTACTGTGGTCTTTGGCTTTCAGTGTCAGTTGAGCGATTCATGGCTTGATAAGTGATAATTCCTAGTTCAGAATGCCACTTCTTTGGCACTTTTGCAGACACTGTGTAAAAAAGTTTACCATGGACTCTCACCTTAGAGCAAACATGTAAAATGAAACTATGTATTAAAAAAACCAAAAAACAACTAGTTCTGTAAAGCTCTTTATTTTAGAGCTATTTTAAGCATCTTAAATTTCCCTCTCATAAGTGATTTTGAATTGAGGCTGAAAATTTAGTTGCTTTATTCACTACTAGTTCATGCATAACCCACAGATCATCCTAGAAACTGTAGTAAAATGATAAATCACAAAATTATTACTGGTGTTTATCACTCTACTAATAATTTATTTTTCCTTGAACACTGAAAAAGCAACAAAACATCCATGCTGTAGACAATTATTCAACCAAATGACACACCTAACAATCAAAACAGTAGGACTGATCTTTCCACCAATTTCACTGGGAGCTATCACAGACATTGGAAAAAAAAAAAAAAAAAGTAATTTGTGGATACCACACCCAAACTAGGAAATGAAGCTAGGCCCATCTCCTTGCTTTCCTGTTCTCTCTTTACAGGTTAAATATAAAACCCCAATGCTGTATACATGATGCTAACAATGCAGAAGAAAAAAAAAAAAAAAGAAGAGAAGAGCTGACTTCCAAGTGGTTTCAACAAAAGATGTAAGTGGAAGTTCAGTCTTAGTTTGAAGTCCTAGCCAAAAAATAGCTTTCCTGATCCTATGAGCTACCCAGATGGCGCAGAGTGTCTTCTGGCAAATGCTACAGATATGAGAAGTGATAATATAAAAACACTATTGGGGCAGAGCTCACACCTCAAACACTGATTCTGAAGGTGGCCATGTCATCTACACATACCCATATTACAAGATGGATAGCAAACTCAAAGAACTAAATCATTACAGAAGAGTAACTTCCTAGCTACAGAAAAGAACATGGCTACTATCTATTAACAGTATAATCAAGCTATTCCTGAATGTGAGAATGAAGACATTTCTTCAAAAAATAGTCACTGAGCCAAGAGGCAATAACAATATTCTTGATTTTAATCTGGCAAAGAAGGAGTACATCCAATAAGAGAAGATAATGCTGGATAATGTGAGTATTAATTCAACTTAAATTAAAGGACTTAAAAAAGTAAGGTTGAACTAGTGTTACTGACATCAAATAAGCAGATGCGGAATTAACTGATTATCACCATTAAATAGAGTGAATTTCATTATGAACCAAATAAAATAAGCACTTTGAATCCTGAAGTCAGAGGTACAAAAGCTGTATGGAATTTCCATTTTAACCACACAATTGGATGTATGTCAGAGCTGGAACAAAGAAGGGAAAGGATTGCAGGGTACGATATTGAATGAAAATTCTTCTTTCAGTGCAGGCATGTTGCTAGTTTGTGTGAAATTAAATACTAGACTTAAAATTAGATGAGGTGATAACACTATCGCCAGCAAACTGCCTTGATTATCAGTAGGAATTATGTTCAACACTACAACAAAGGCAGCACAGCTAACGGAAAAAAGTAGACCAAGACTGAGACTATAGCTGATGTGGAAGCAAATTACCATCAGTTCAGGAACAGGAAATGAATTATGCAGTTGTTATGTCAGAATTTTTAAAAAACTGGCAAATAAGACAGATGCAGTTAGCAAGTACTTTTTGGGAGACATTATTGCTCTCTACAACTACCTGAAAGGAGGTTGTAGGGAGGTGGGTGTTGGTCTCTTCTCCCAAATAACGTGATAGGACAAGAGGGAACAGCCTTAAGTTGTGCCAGGGGAGGTTTAGGTTGGACATTAGGAAAAAATTCTTCACTGAAAGGGTTGTCAAGTATTGGAACAGGCTGCCCAGGGAAGTGGTGGAGTCACCATCCCTGGAGGTATTTAAAGGATGTGCAGATGTGGTACTTGGGGACATGCTTTAGTGGTGAACTTGGCAATGCTAAGTTTACGGTTGGACTAGATGATCATAATGGTCTTTTCCAACCAAACTATTCTATGATTCTATGAATAAAGCCATCACATCAGAAGTAGCACATACAACTGAGGTATATTAAGTATAGCTCCCATATATTTAGGAAGAGCAAAAATAGCTGATTCGGATCACTGCATGTCCGCTACTTACTGTCATCATTTAGATTAAGGATAAATCAAAGGTCCTTCTCTAAAATGGAAATGTGGTCATTCTAGTAAGGACTTCAATAAAGGATGTAGGACTCTTTAATTAAGATTATGAAGAAGATGACTCTTACCCATGTTACATATCTGCTGTTGAATTGACTAATGGAGAGATGACAATGGGTGGTATGAAACAGGAAGGCAGCAGAGAAAATTAGTAGTAGAACTCCAGATTCGGCCTTGTGACTTATTTTAGTACTTTCATTCATAGCTTTGTCATAAATAAAAGTATGGTAGCAATACTAAGCAGGAAGACACCTTCACTACAGGAAAGGGCTGGCATATGATGCAAGAAAAATCAGATGATCTGAAATAAATCTGGACTGTAAAATCACTAGTCATCAGGACAGTGAAATTCTGGAGCAGTATGGTCCTGAGATGTCTTCAATAATCTTCACACTCGGAAGAGAAATTAGCAATTGCTTGAATGGTCTTCACTTATACCTAACTAAGTATTCAACTTTCTAATGCAAGAAATTACATCCTGCTTGTTAATTAATTCTTCATGTCCATTCAAAGGTCCCAAAATTAAAACAGATATCCAAATTGCATGGCACTGCTGTCTTCACTAGCATTTCACTGTTACACTCAAGCATCCAACAAAGTTACAATGACTTTACCTACAGAGGAATCTAAAATCACCTAGTTTTTCTGGAGTGTCTTACTTCAGGCATGAAGAGAGTTTTCTGCTCTTTCCACCTCCTCCTGACCTGTTCAATTTCTCTTAATTACTTGCAATAAAGCTTTTAACACTATACTTAAATAGAAATTACTACTGTGACTTCATTACCAATCCAAGAAGTTAGGTATAAAAGAGAACATATTTATTTATGCCCAAATACAGAGAATATTGATTTTCATAAGCAGTACAATAAAAATGCCCATCAGTGAAAACCACGGCAGTAAAAATAAGTATTTCTCAGAAAATTTTGTTTTGCTTAAGCAAATACCTCAACAACTGGAAGCGCTGAATGAAATGCCACATTTTTTCATAAATAATATCTTTAATCAATAATCTAATCCCTAATACATCTGAAATCATAAAAAATAAGTAGAAACTTGGTTCTTACCTCAGGGTGAAACTGCTGCTCTGTACGAGAATGACAATATTGACAGCTATCGCCACTTTCACACCTTGAAGGTTCACCCCATTCGTCTGCACGTTTTACACTGGGGCAAGGAGTGGATCTAGAAAAAAGTGATGTCCACAGCATGTTTGTATCTACTTCCTAGCAGAAGCCTCAAACAATCTCCCGCTAAACCTCAGAATCTTAGATTCTGGAACCCATACATTGCAAACTCTGAGAGACACTGATTTTTTGGAAATTCTTCAACAGAAAGATTCTATCTATCTCCTGTCTAATGACATTTATTCACAGTCTTGAGACTGTCAAGCAATGCTCATCAATTCTAAACTTTGTATCACTGCACAGAAAAACACCAAAACCAATGAAGAAATCACAGTGTATGAGAATGATGTAAAATGATGTAATGATGAATGATGTAATGACGGAAAGTAAGAGAGGTGATGCATTAAATTTTGGTCCTAAAACATTGCTCAAAAAATGGAAAATTATAGAACAAAACCAGAAAAAAAAGACAGAAATTATAACTGATCTTTTCATAACAGATGTGCGACCTAGTGATTCCAATTTTTGCTAAAAATTATAGAAATTCTTTCATTCTTCACAAGAAGGAAGGATATTTCCATTACAGCTTCATAATTTTTTGCATTCAAAACTGTCTGATCATTCTGAACAGACGCTTTAAAAAAAAAAAAAAAAATTAAGCAAGGCTATTGGGAAAGATATGTTTTTATTCCATTAGGAATATACAATTGCATTATAGAAGAACCCAAACAGATCAGTCTATTAACAACTGACTGACCAAAAAGTCTATTCTTAATATGTATTTAGGTACCTGTATTTGAATTTTCTGGGATTTCGTCTTCTATCTCGGCTACTGTGATAGTGCGGACATGCATAACCCTGGCGGCAGAGTCTGGGTGGCTTGGTACATTGTTCTGTCTTGTAGCCAACTAATACAAAATTTGCATCTGTAAACAGGTCAATAATTAAGAGAAATAAACAACTAAATTTTGCATTCAAAGTGTCTTCAGTGAGTTTAGGTATCACACTGTTTTTTATAAAAAAATTATGATTCACAGACCCCTCCATTCTTACATACTTTGACTGAGTCTTGCATTTTTTAGAATAAAAGTCTAACATATTTACATGCAAAGCAATCTTCACTGCTTTTTATATTCAACAGTAATATTACAATAAAGTGCACAAATAAAGCAATAGCAATCTATGGGTAAAGGAACTATCCAGAAATTCTCAGTGTACACATTTAACATTTTGAAAATTAATACCTGAAAATACATTATTCATTTTAGTAAGAGAAACACTAAAACTTTATACAATTTTATATCTAAATTTCTCTTAATTTTAGTGTTGACAGTGCTTATTTCACCAAAACTGCTTTCACGTTAAGGCATGTTAAGGCAGTCCAGTAAAATATTCCTGGACAAATTCTAGAGCCTCTTCTCTACTTTTGCCTCTGTCTCTACATCTTTGGTTCTAGGAAGGAAGAACTAGGAGATGACAAACAAGGTTCTGTCTAGAAACAGAAAAATTAAGAAAAACAATGGAGCAAGTAAATAGATTGGAAGGCACAATTTAGCTAACATGGGTTTAGCAGGCATGGGTTTGTGAGGAGTAAATAATGTCAAACCAATCTAACTTCTTCCTAAGGTGGGAAAAGGGATGTAGGTACAACAGAAGCAATGTCATGTATCTTGACTTCAGCAAACCTTTTAGTCTGATATGTTCTCAAAAACAAACTGCACAATACTACAAGACTCCTGCACAATTTGTGGAAAAACAGCTGAACGAGTCACAAAGAGTCATTAATGATGTACTTTCAAATAGCAAAGATTATTAATCAGTGTTACATGGAGTCTATTCAGTCCTTTTCAATAGTTTCATTATAGACTTACAAAAATAAGGTTGAATTCTATGATGATTCTATGAAATCACTAGTTGGATGACTTTCAATCCCCAGAAACTATGTGCAATCTTACCATATTTACAGGGACTGACAGAAGCCATAAAACATTATATAACACAGACCTGTCACAATGCAAGGAATGCAATAACAGTGCTTGCAGTTGATCAATGTTGCTGTCTTTTTACGTTGAACATCCAATATTTACTGATCTAGAGTTGACAATTAAGCTCTACACATTATTAGTACTTAAATGGTTGGAAATCATCCTATAATAGATTTAAAAAATATAGAGAGAACAAGTATCATACATTTATCTCCCCTTGAATTCCTTAGAGAAAGCATCTTCATGTGACTTCTTCCTGTGTTACTGTCCCCACATGAATTTTATGGAAGTAGTTGTACCCGTCAGTCTTTTCTAAAGTAAAATTTGGGCAAGAGCTCTAACAATATCTAACTGATACTAACATCTTTGGCTACATAATAAGGAAGCCTAAACCAAGAACATGAGAACCAAATTTGAAAGCCTTAAGAAAACTAGAGCAATTTGATTTACTTTAAGAGATATAATCTACTGCTTTCAGGACTTTCTTTTATTTTAATATTCTGCTCCCATTTTCTGTTTAATATTCTACTTACTTCCTGTTAGTCAAGCTCAGCAAAGAATAATGGTCCATAAACTAGTCTATTAATGACCCCAAAAATTAAGACTCTAATTGTTACTACTACTTAGCACAAGACAGAGCTACTACTGACTTTTATGAACATTTATTCAATTGACGCAGATGAGCAACACTTGTATCAAGTAAACTGAAAAACACCTATTAAACGATTTCAGAACAAAATATTTTCAAAATGTAACCTGAATATAAACGTGACAGACAGTACAACTTGTTCAGAAATATCTGTATTACTTATATAAAACAATTATTTACTCTGTTAAAAAAGGCTTTTGAACTTCTCCCACATGAAGATCCAGGATCAACAAATTGGATCAAATACAATAAAGAAACAGAAAAAGGAGACAGGGGAATATTACCCTGCCATCTTGGATCTTCACTAAGGATCTTCTCAATCATTGCCTGGCTTGCTAAAATTCCTGGTTGCAGATCTGGAATGCCTTCACCGCATGCTAGCTGCCCATTCTGTAAGGTTTTCTGTGCCTGAAGTTCTCTGGAATGGGGAAAAGAAAATGACACTGCTAAACTGTATAGCTATAGTAATGCTATCTGTTGCAGGTATAATCCTGTCCTATTAAAATTCTGTCATTTAATCCAGCTCTTAACAAGCCTAAACTGTAAAAAAAAAATAAATTGACTGTATTTCAAACCATTACTTGCGATGAAGCTGGCAAACAATCGTAAGGAATAACTATGTTTCATACAAATGAAAGAGAACACATGAAGGAATGCTGGCATTATGTACATAGACAATATTTGTCCCAGCAATGCTGATCTGTATCTCTGTATGCTGGTGTGTTGACATTTTTAATATGCTATTAATTTCTGATATTCCACTGACACATGGGACATAGTAGAACAAAAAAAGATACAGAAAGGGCAATAAGGGTGATCAGAAATACAGAACTCTTCTATGAGGAAGAATTAAATACCATAAGACTCTTTGCCTTGGAAAAGTTATGACTGAAGGAAGGAACAAAATACAGCTATTGAATACTACATCATATAAAAGTAGCCAAAGTACTTTTGGGTCACTGTAGGATTTTGCAAAAAAAGTTTATCAAGACATTCAAGAGACATAGTAACAAACAACAAACATTATGAGGAAATGCAATCTCTTTTGCAAGAATTTACAACTGCTTTGCAAGTAAGCAACCACAAGCTTGCGGAAAGATCAGAACAACTAGTACCAAACTAAAAGGTATTGTATTAGTGGTATGAAACCTCTACTAAAAATCTGAGACAATTTTATTACATTATTTCCGTAAAATTAAGCCACAAAGAGATTCAACAATGGCAAATCAGTAAAAAAGATTAAAAAAAAACCACCCCAAAACCCAAAAACTATAGTATAATTATATTAGGCAGACTTTGAAGCAATGGAGAAACAAGGTGAGGAATCAAATACCAGAGGTGGATCTATAGTACCCTATGATAATCAAAGGCTTATTCCTTCAATTGGCAATGCTTTCTCTAGACACAAATATTCAAGAAGCTTACCTCCTATACCAAAATACTCCTACTCAGGATCTCCGAAGAGGAGTTTGAAAGGTGTGGTCGTTTATAATGTAACTAGTTATTATATCATTTACATATATTTTCTGTAACTTCACAGACCCCAAGTATCCTCCAAGAAAGAAAATCTCAAAGGGAAAGGAAGACAAGACAGACCCAAAGCCAAGTCTAAAACCTTTCAAACAGTCAGATTCAGAAAAGGTTCAGGCAATAAGAAGGAAAACAGATAGTTCCTAGAGAGTGCTTTTTCTTTAAGGTGGATGTGTAGAAGAACAAGATTATTAAGGGGAATAAAGTTAACATCTGCATCAGTGATTATGCAGTTATTTCTCTGTATCAAAAATGAAGAAACCCTAACATCTGTGACCATCATAGAGCAGAGCAAAAAGACCACCAAAGGAAAAATAAGACCAAATTGTTTGGACTTTCTTATGAATGCTGGATGCCTGAAATCAGAAGAAGTAATTGCACACAACTGTTTTTCACAAACACCAAAGAAGTTTGAGACAGCCTACTTGTAGGTTTAAACTGTTAAACATAGACTTCTACACAAACATCTTCATCTCCTCCTGATGCTCTATACATAGCCAATCCCCAACAAACAATAATGTAACACAGTAAAAGACATTTAGAGAATGGAGCCTGGTTTCAGTCTTGCTGTACTTTGGTTCCTCATTCTAATACAATACAGAAGATTACAAAGATTCTAAGCGTTCTGTATTCAGACTGATGTGGCATCATGCTGCATATGCTAAATGAGGAAAGCTAAAAAAGAAGAAAAAGAAAATGGACAGATGTCTTGCAGAAGAAGCATCAGCTAGCTAATTGAAGAAAGTCTTCTGGAAAGAAAAATTGTAGGTAACTAAACGGTATATGACAACCGTTTAGTTGTCAACGCAGCAGTAAATTCTGTGGCAAAATATGAATTAAAATAATTATGAAATTACTGAAAAGGCACTAACTTTACTAAAATTATTGTGAAGGGAGAGCTATCATCTCCCAACAGACGGTTGCGAATAAGGGATAACAAAGGTAAGAATGTAAGATAGCAGCCATACCAGCTCAGATCAAAGGTTCATCTAGCCTGGAATCCTGTCTCCAACAGTGGCCAATAGCAGATGCCTAGGGAAGAGTATAAGAATAGGGCAAGTGTATAGTGATACTTCCCCAGAATGCTCTTCCAGTGTCCAGTAAGAGATACTTGTGACCCTCCAAGGCTTCAAAGCTCTCTAGGAATTGGTATTCTTTCCTGTTGGGTATATACAGACCACTCTGTAGCAAGGATTCCCCTTCCACCCATTTATAATACCTCCCAACAACACGCTTATCTCCCAGCTTTGGCTGTAGCTAAAACTCATACCTACCACTACCCTGATTCACAGAGCACCTTCTTTCAACAATAACTTGATTATAAATTAGAGAGGCAGAAAATAATACTGATAACTTACACATGAAAAAATACAACATCATTAAAAAACCCACAGTAGGCAAAACGTCAAATGTACAAGCTGAGAACCTGAGAGATGGCTTAACAAAAACATAATTTTGTGAATGTAAAAACCACAGGTAAATTTACAAAGCATAAATGACAAAAGGCAGAGTATCTGATATTTTATTAGTCATAAGAATTACATATATGGGTCTTGAAACTGCAAGTTAAAAAACCTTAGTATTTTTATTTCCCAGTGTGCTTCTATCTGCTGTAGTCATGCACGGTGAATTGTATTCTTATGTTTATAGATATAGAAGTATCTTTTTCATGCAAAGCATACTGCATTTTCTGGTGTGTGGTGACAACAGACATATGGTATTTCCTGCTAATTAGGCTGAAGAATTTGAAACAAGACTACCTTATATCATATACTGGTGGTCTAAGGTCATGTGGACCATGAGCAAAGGCACAGTGAATTCCATTCTTCACACAGTGACCCCGGGCATCTGTTTCATGAATGCACGTTCCAGTCTTGTAATATCTGAGATGATACTTCCTTTCTGTATCCCCTGTTGTTCGATGCAAGTAAGGGCAACTACATAATAGAAAGAGGAAAGTTAGAACATTGCTTTGAGTTTTGTTTTTAATAATTTAATTCTGAATTATGCTATATGTTTTACTAACTTATAACAAGTAACTTTGCAGGATTCTTCAAACAAAAATTGTCCCAAACAAACCACCATCACAGATCAGCTTCAAAATGAAAACCATTAATCTTTCTTAGTCTCTGCCAAAGTTGTAAGAATTTATAGTAGACTGGCTCACAAAGACATTATTAATAAATCTAGTAAGCACCCCTGTAAGCAACAACATCACCTGAGCTAAGGAATGACATCTTCTGATACAAGCTCAAATAAGTTCCACACTATGAGATAATTTTATTTTTTTTTTTATGTTATTGTCATCTAAAATCAAGGAGTACTTGAAACATGGTGATTTTTTTCCTGCTTGCTCTTTATAGACATGGACCTTATTGAGCAATCTCAGGGGAAATCTAAAATGACTCTAAAGGAAGAGAAAAAAACTAAAAGGAAGAGAACAATTTTTACATCAGCAATACATCTTTGTCCATCTTTCAGTCACAACTATGTGAGTTATGGTCTATACTTTAAAACGGCTAGCATCATCCATGGATAATAATCTCAACTACAAATAGTAAACAATTTTTTAAAAACCCATAAAAATATATACACAGGGATGTCTGTTGTCTCCCAGTTTATTTCAGTGTAATCAATTTTGGTCTGTGCTGGTTTTGAAAAAATACTAATCTCCAAAAACTACTTTCCCCCAACCCAAAGTAATAAGAAACTGCACCAAAAAGGTTAGAGTGATATAGAACAATAAATTAAAAGTCCTACAGAAATATTTACTTTGAATGGAAGGAGAATAGCAAAGCACTAAGGAGAGTTTAACACTCATAAGAATTTATGCTGGCTTAAGCTTTATTTACTGTATTCTAAAAAGGTTATTTAGAAACATGAATAAACAAATGCAATTGTTTGGAAACATTTACAAGTCTGGTATTTATATATCTACATCAAAATCATACATTTTTTCCTGCTGTGCTAAACACCTGCAGCTTTACCTAGAAGAGACATATGTCCATGCAAATGCAAATGCTAACAGGCTAGCCAGACGACTAACAGTAAACTCTTTCCTTTGCTTTTTCTCACTGGAAGCATCACAAAACTGTCATTCTCCTCTACTAGCCATCAGTCTTCAAAAAACAGAAGTTTAAAATCTTGAAGCCACCTCTATGCAGTACAGTTTGCAACTACTGGTCAATTTCAAGGTTGTCAGGAAAAAAAGGAAGCACAACTAAGGGAAAAAAAAAAGGTGCAGCAACAATACTAGCACAAATGTGGAGGAACAATACTAGCAGAAAACCAGCTTCTTATATTATGCTTTAAAGATAGTCACAATGCAAAATCATAATTCGAACTCTATGATAGCCTAATGAATACATGCCTTTATAAAAGTATATGTGCCAAAACCTGACAAATCACTTACAGAAATCTATAAATAAACTGCAGCAGGATTCAATCGATCATTTTCACTAATGAGAAATTAGCATCTTTCCTTAAGGTCATTAATAATACTATAAACATCTAAGACTGGAAGAAATCACTTACTCATCTCCATCTGGGCAGATTCCTGTAGTCTCATCATATTTTGTACAATAAACATCTGGACTGTAGTTAAAAGTCCCATCACGCCTTCGTATAGGTCTACGACGACGCTGATTTAGGAAATGCCAATGAAAACAGGTAAATGGTCTGTGCTGGATACACTTGTGCTGCAAAAATAGGGGGCACTGCTCTGTCCTAAATTCCTTTAGATACCTAAAAAAATTAAACTGTGTTACAAGTTTATCTTATTGGAGGCACATTTTTACAGTATTAACAGGGCACTTGACAATTCAGTGCACATAGTCCATGAAAAATTGTACAAATGTACCTGCATACAGTTTTAGTTCCTATGCACAATTTACTGTTTAGCTGTTGAATACAAGTGACTTCATTTTTTGACAGATGCATTACTAATAAAATAAAGTGGAATACCTGCCAAACAGTACTATGTTGTGTGGTTTTTTACTAAAGTAAAATCAAATAAATACATTAATTTTAAAAGCATGGTATCTAGAATATTGTCCTAAGTAACCACCAAACAGAGATTATAAATCCTACATAAATTCAAAAGTTACCTGAATGAGCATTCATATTGCTTGCTACCATACAAAAAAGTCCTACAAAGGCTATGTTAGCTAAATACCACATCTAATTTAAACATTCATCCTTAATCACAACATTCACAGAATTTGGATGCACTATATAGCAAGCCAGAGGGTTAAAAGAGGGTTATGAAAGTTATCAGGCGCTATGAAAGTACTTCTGCAAACTTATTTTAGCAACTGTTACGTTTGTGTTGAGACAGTCTGGGGTCTTTGAAGGTTACTTAGGTGTTAGTAAGACAGTCTTTCATTAACATGCAAGGCAAAGAAACTAGTTAGAAAGTCTGATACTTTTTTCCAGAGGATATCACAATCATGCCAGACTGAGCACTGATGTGGCATTTGTCAATGGACATAAGATAGCAGTTTTCTGTCTCAGTTTACATATCTATTAGCCAATTTAGCGAGTTCATTATGTCACTAAAGTTACAGAGTATTTGCAGAGGAAGGGGCATATGAGGGCTTCGCAGAAGAACCTTAGAGTTCCCAGAGGTGCAGGATGCATAACAGGCTACAGGAGAACTGAAGATATAGGGAAATGAAAGGACTATAAAGAGGAATAAAAGGACATCTTTTCGTTCTCAGTTGCTTCAACTGGCACGTGGGGGATATAATGACACAGAATTATGAAGCATATATTTAAATTATTAAGCATGTCTATCCAGGATTGTGGGGAGAAAAAAAACAACCAAACAAAAAAAGGAACAGAATTTTTTGACCTTAAGGGGTATAGGACAGGCTGTAGTAGTATCTAGGTAAGTGGCTAAATTTTTGTGGTCCTTCTGAGAGTGCTGGAAGCGTGACATTATAGAAGTGATAATATGGGGGATGGGAGTGAATGAATACCACAATTAAGTGATGAATTATTCTGCATTTGTTGGGAGCACACAGTCCTACAAGAGATGGTTTGTCAGTAGTGCTACAAGGCTGCAGGGACTTTATAGACCACATTAAAAGAAAACAGGTAGGCTTGCAGAGAGTACAGCGAGCACACGGGACCTGTCTTTCGGCACGAGAAGGTCTGTAAAAATTGTCACGGAAACGTTTCAAGGGCTCGAGCTGAGGCTGGCTACGCAACGCTTAGGAGAAGTGGAAGGACTTCTGCCACAGCTTGGAGAAGGCGGTCTCAGAGTGCGAGAAGGGGCTCGGGATGTCGGCGGATCACAGTGCGGACCAGAGATGCACGACCGCGGGAGCGGACACAAGGCGCGGAGAACCGCCGCAGGCGCTCTGCACTCAGCCGCGCCCGTGCCGCCTCAGAACGCGGCTTCGTTCCCGCGGCGCCTGGAGGCGGAAAAGTAGCGCGGCGGAGGCCGGCCGGAGCCAGGCAGGCTCCTAACAGCGCTGCCGCCAGTGCCGGAGGCCGCGCGGAACAGGCCTCCACACGACCAGGCCCCCTGCCTCGGGTCCTGGCGCCCTCCCCGCGCGGCGCTGGGGCCCAGGGAGCAGCGCACCTCCAGGACGCGGTACCTACGAATAATGTGTCGGC